ATGAAAGTATATTAAACAAAAGAAGATTAATATCATTTACTGACACAGGAATAAGTCAATAGCATCAGTCTGGGGTTTGGTTTGTCTTTGTGTCGAGACAGTAAAAGGCTGATTTTCCTCTTTTGCAGCATAGTTATTTTAACAAGATAGTGGAAAAAGAAGCACAGAAAACCACGCTCTGAACTTTCCTTCCCAAGGCTTGTGTTTCTGGGTAACAGGAAGAGTCACTTCCTTGGGCTCATGGCCACACCTGTTTTCCATTTTGCCGACAGACTGTGTTTGCCCACCTGAGCTCCTGGAAGCTTCAGAGGCACATGCTCCCTTCCGGTGTGTGCATTGGTATCCTGTTGCGTGTTGAATGTTTGCCACGGGACAGACACCCTGCTGGAGGCGAGTCTGCGGCAGGACTTTGTAAACTTTCCACTGCCTCATCTCTCCCGGGGAGGGAAACAAATGGAACCCAGCAGGGCCTGGGTGGGGTACAGAAGGCCAGCCAAGCCCTGGGAAATCAGGATTTGATTTCAGAAGCTATGAGAAGGCTGTGTTCTTCCCTGCAGCACACCTGGATTTGTTTTAGGGGTTTAGTTTTGACTTGAGGTGGAACTCTTACTATGTAGACCAGGCTGGCCTCAAACTTGTGTCAATCCTCCTGCCTCTGTCTCAAAAATAAAATAATAATAACAATAATAATAATAATAATAAATAGCTGGGTTTGGTTATATATGCCTATTGTCACAACACTTAGGAGGCTGAATAAGGATTGCAACAAGTTTGAGGCCAGCCCTAGGCTAAACAGCCAATTCCAGGCTAGCCTAGGCTATAGAGTGAGACCCTGCCTCAAACAGAAGAACAAAAACAAAAACTCCACCATAATAACAGTAACAACTAGGTTCTCCTTGAATCTTCAGGTCAGTGTTACACTCTAAACAGATACAACTTTCCTTTTTCCTCTGGCTCCGAGACCCCCTGGCACCTTGCTATAGAATGTGAAATTTGCTGTCAGGCACTATTGGTGGTTCAATTATTATTGAATGCTCTTTCCCCTGTGAATTATAGGCTCAGTTAGCACCCAAAGGACCGTCTGTTTCGTCCACTGCCGTGTCTCAGCAGGTCTGGGGAAAGGCAGGCTTTCCGTGGACATTTGTTGAATGAATATGCAAGCCTGAACTGGAGAACCCAAGAGCATCGAGAATAAGAATGCGGTCCCTGCTTTCTGGGGGCAGGGTGGTACCTGGAGAGAGAACTGTACAGGAACATACATGTATGTATAGTAACATACATGAAAGACAACAGGTGATGAATGTTAAATGGCTAAGTCAAAGCCCACGGCTCCCTGACTCTACCAGACTCATCTTCCAGTCTCAATGTAGACAAAGCAAACTGAGGGAGAAGGGCGATTTCTCTGGGCTTAGGTGATCTCAGCAGGCTCCAGGAGGGGTGGAGGTGGTGAGGGAAATAACCGCAGTGGAAAGATCTCTGGACCCATGGCCACCTCACTACTCTGAGCTCATTTCCTTCATTTGACATCAGTATTTATTGGATGTCTACTGTGGGTCAGGATCTGTGCTGGGAGCCAAGGTTTTATTGGTAAATAAAAGTTAGATAGTCCCCGCCCTCACTGAGATTAGCAAGTCATTGTGCCGGAGCCAGACTGCGGTCTAAGGAGCACATCGGGGGGAGCACGGGACCCAGATTTTGATTCAGGGTCTGGTCTGTTGGAAGAGGTCTGGCTCACACTGAGACTCGAAGACGAGCCTGGTAGAGTCAGCGATGGTGGGCTTTGAGTTACCCATTTAACCTTCGTCACTCGTTACCTTCTTAGTGCTTTGAGCAAAGGGAACATAAGTGAGCCAGGAACTGGAAGCGGTCCAGGAGGACATGAGGAAGGCAATGGGAAAGAGGAGGATGGAACTATAGAGGCCGGAGTGTGAATTTGACCTTTATCCTTGGGGCAATGAGAAGCTGCTGGGGGATTTTTAAAGACTAAAAAGTTAGTTTACAAAAAAAATCACTTTGACTACTGTATGCAGAATGATGAGAAGGTCAAGGGCTGGGCGTGGATGGAAAAGTGGACGTGTTCTCCTCGTTGTCCTGTAAGGTAGGATTTGGTGATTAGTGGGTAGGAAAAAGGCAAAGGAAAACCATCAAGAGTGACACCAGTTTCTAAAACAACTTCTGGAAATCCTAGAGGCGGAGCAGCAGGTAAGAGCTCTTCTGACATTTCAAGGGTCTGAAGGAAGGTTTTAAGATTCTAGCCAAGGGAGGATTTTGGTTAGATAACTCAGATCTGGTCCTCAGGGACAAAATTTAGGATACAGATATAGATTTTTAGAGTTAACAGAATATAGGCAAAAATTAAATTTTCAAATTTAATAAAGGAGAAAAATAAAATATTAAAATTTCAAAGTAAGTAAGCACCCTTGGTGAGGGGTGAGAAAATCATGTCTAAGATACGACTTTGAAGAACAGCGGTATTAAGGCAGGGGAAGAGAAACCAAAGAGTAAGAGGAGAAACACAAGAGCCAGGCTGAGCGACCAAAGGCCGCCCTCACGCTGAAGGCCTGTGGTCCTGCGGAGCTTGGGATCTTGGCCAGGCCTCAGACACAGAGCACAAAGAGAAAGGAGCATTCCAAGCAATGGTGCCACATCTGCCAGCTTCCCGACAAGAAACAGAGGGTGGTCTCAGACAGAATTACTTGAGACCGCTTCAATAAAGAGGCCCTTTACAAGAATGTAGGAAGCTTTGAAGAAACAGCAAGGGAGAAAATCTGGCAAGAGTCATAACAGAGACCCTTCACCACTCCAAGGCCCAAAGCCAGCCAAAGAAGGTGGCCTGTGGGGTGACATGGCTTCTGAAACACCCTCTCCACACCCAACCTCCTCCCATGCCTCTGTGTCCTCTGGTTGCCTCCTGTTGGCCAAACAGAAGCCAGAAAGGACAGGAGCCCAGGTGCAGCCTAAGGAGACAGTGCTCCTAGGGCACATAGTGAAGAGCAGAAATGGAAGGATGAACGGACTATTCTAGAACAGTTATCCTGGAGATGAGAGTGTTTGGGGAGAATAGATTAGTGTCTGTCTTGTTGTTGTGTGACAAAGAGCGAATTCAGTTGCTTAAAAATGAATGTGTTGCCGCTACAGAAGTTAGAGACCCAAATGATCTCATTGGTGTCAGCCGGACTTTGCTGCTCTCTAAAAACGGCAGGGAGAAAGTCCTAACCTTTTCCAGCGTTCAGAGGCCCCAGATTCCTCTTCTCATGGCCTTCCCTGCATCTTCAAAGTCAGAAATCATGATGTTCTGACCTTCTGTTTCTGCCATGGTCACTTGTCTTCGTCTTCTGTCGCCTTAGTACTTTGGAGTCATCTGTGCCTGCTCAGAATGCTTTCCCTATGCTAGGTCCTTAATTTAAGGGTCGGGGACATAGCTCGATTGGTAAGATCCAGGTCCCTTAGCGTAGCCTGTAAAGAAGCCCTTCATGGATGTCCCATTCTTCCCACTCCACACACAAATCCTCCTCCTACCCACCCAACCCGGCATGAACTGTCCTCTCCCATATCTCTGTTTATGCTCTTCTCTATCCTAGATGGCCCTTGCACATCCATGTCCTCCTTAGGACCTCTTCCTTCAAGGGTCAATGATGACTTCTTTTTTGGGTGACTCTCAAACCTCCCCTCCCCATCCCCTGTATTTTTTTTACCTACTCCAGATTATTGCAACACTTACCACATTCTGGCTGTTTGTGTGGCTGTCTCACTGTGCTGTGATCTTCCTGGGGGCACTTTTCTAGACCTGCCCTTGGCAATAGCAGGTACATAGCTACACTCACTGTCTTAGAGAGGCTGACTGGACAGAATGCAGCGTTGTCTCGCTAGGGAAGAGCTAAAGAATTTTCTGCAAGGGACTGAGTAAAACTTGCTTTTGATGTGAACGTTTAAGGATGAGGCATTTCAGAGGGCTGGGGACTAAGAGAGAATGTTTGGGGGTATAAAGAAAGAAAAATTAGGGAGAATGATTACAGAAACAATAGTAACCAAAATAAGAAGAGGACATGAAGCTGGGAGGGAACTGGGGTACCGGGCACTAGAAAGTGCTGGAGGGCAGTAGTAGTGGACAGATGCGATCAAAAGACATCATTTAAAGGGGGGAACTTTCAAATAATAAAAAAAAATACTATTAAAGTACTCTCGAAGATACTGTTTTATATTTTTAAAAAGTTAATGAAGAAGGAAAAAGAGGAGAGAGAGAGAACTACTCTCAACTGTGGCCAGGGCTTGAGAACGTCTCTTGGTTTCATTGCACGGGACAATGTGTCCTCACACCGGTCCTCTGAACTCTTCCCTGAATGGATCCCATTCTGTGTCCTTCACAGCACTCTCTACCCTGAAAGGGCACAAGTGTGCTGCTTACAACCGCCATACAATTAGTCATTGTTCCTCCCTGGTTTTCAATGGAAGCGGGGAGAGGCCTTGGAGTAGGATGGAAAAGCACTCACTGCCCTGGGAGCCAGAAGCCAGCACACATCCCATTGCTATCACCTCCAGCTCAGTCACAGTCTGTAAAATCCATCGAATGGTGGTATCTTTTTTTAAAGATGTATTTATTTATTATGTATAGTGTTCTGCCTGCATGTATGCCTGTATGTCAGAAGAGGGCACCAGATCTCATTACAGATGGTTGTGAGCCACCATATGGTTGCTGGGAATTGAACTCAGGACCTCTGAAAGAGCAGCCAGAGCTGTTAACCTCTGAGCCACCTCCCAGCCCCCGAATGCTGGTATCTTGCAGGCTTCCTTACAGGGCTACCCTAAAGGGGAAAACATAGCTGAAATAATGCTGTGTGTATGTGTGAAAGTACCGTGAGCCGTGCCCTGCTCTGGAATTGAAGGCAATGCTGCCTTCCAGATGAATTGTCTGTGCGGTAGGATCCGTGGCCAGTGTAGCACAATCCATTACTAGTCTTGCAGTTTGCAGCTAGGAGATGACAGTATTGCTCTTTTAACAGTGGTAGTGTGAAGCCCCAGGAAGCTGGCCCACTTCAAAGTGCACGAGAAAGGTGTACCTGCGAAGCCATGGCTCTCCCCTTTCAGAAGGAGCTGGAGAAGTACAAGAATATCAATGAGGATGAGCTGCTTGGCAAACTGTCAGAGGAGGAGCTGAAGCAGTTGGAAAATGTTCTGGATGACCTAGATCCCGAGGTTGGTGGCATGGAACTGGAGTGGGGTGCTTAATGAGAGCCTGGGAAAAGGGGGGCAGGTCTCTCCATCAGCGATCTCCAAAGTGCCTGGCAGCCCCCCTGTAGAATTCTGGGTTCCTCCCCATTGCAGCTGATACTCTTTTACAGGTTCATGGCCAGTGAGAAATGACGAGTGTGTTTCTCAAAAACTAGTTCATAGATGATGAAAAGTGTTTTCCATTGGGAAAGAACAGTCTGATTTAGTGTAGGACTAAACAGAGTATTTTCCAAGTGTCAGATCCTTTGCTGGGCCCAAGAGTCCTTGGGGGAAATGGTATTAACTCCTTTTCATAATCGGAAGGCACACGTACAAGGGTGACCCACACAGATCCCACACTAGTAAATGTCCCAGGTGCTGTTGAAAACATCTCTGAGCGGGCAGTAGTGGCTCACGCCTTTAATCCCAGCACTTGGGAGGCAAAGGCAGGCGGATCTCTGTGAGTTTGAGGCCAGCCTGGTCTACAAGAGCTAGTTCTAGGACAGGCTCCAAAGCAACACAGAGAAACCCTGTCTCGAAAAACCAAAAAAACAACAACAACAACAACAACAAAAAAAAAAAAAACCAAAAAAAAAAAAACACCTCTGCAGTGTAGTTTCCTTTTTTTCTTTTTAAATCATTGTTTTAGGTTTGTGAGATAGGGTCTCATGTATTCAGGCTGTCCTGGAATATTATATATTATATAGTTGAGGATGAGCTTACACTTCTGATCTTCCTGCGTCCACCTCCCATGTGCTGGGATTACAGACATTTCAACCTGTTAGGGCCTTAACCCAGGGATTTATGAAAGTGAAGCAAACACTCCACCAACTAAACTACAGCCCCAGACTCCTTGTTTGTTTGTTGACACTGGGTGTTGTAGCCTAGGTGGGCTGCAAACTCATTACTTAGCTGAGGATGACCTGAATCCCCGCTGTCTTTAAATCCCAACCTCCCAAATGTTGGAATTACAGGCATGAGCCACCATACTAGTCAAACTTTTAGGGGTTTTTTGGGGGGAGGGGCTTAATTATTTATTTATTTTGGTTTTTTGAAACAGAGTTTCTCTGTTGCTTTGGGGGCCTGTCCTGAAACTAGCTCTTGTAGACCAGGCTGGCCTTGAACTCAAAGAGATCCCCTTGCTTCTCCCTCTCGAGTGCTGGGATTAAAGGCAAACACCACCACCACCCAGCCCAGACTTTTGTTTTTAAAGGCAGGTCTCACTATGAAGTCTTGTCTGGCCTGAAACTCACTATGTAACCCAGGCTAGTCTCAAACTCATAGAGATCTACCCTCCTCTACCTCTAAAGTGCTGGGATTAAGTATATGTGATACCACAACCAGTCCAGAATTCATCAATCTTTCTTTCTCTCTTTCTTTCTTTCTTTCTTTCTTTCTTTCTTTCTTTCTTTCTTTCT